GGTGTGCTGAAGGGGTAAGAAAGTGCTCCTGTGCTTCGGGGATAATGGTTTGCGAGACAGCAAACCGACCCGAAACAAGGAGCACCCAACAGATGCTACCACTTGACCATCCCGACCGCATCCAAATCACCTTCGACGACCGCCGCCTGGTGGCCAATGCTGGGCTGCTCCTTCCGGTCACGTTGGCCCAGCACCTGGGTCTGCGTGAACTGGTTGACCATCACCTGGACCTGGGCAATGCGCCGGGGCGGGCGAACCCGGGCGACAAGATGCTGACCCTGGTGGCGTCGGCGCTGGCGGGCGGCGACTGCATTGACGACGCCGACGTGTTGCGCACCGGGGGAACCGCCCAGACCCTGGGCTGCGTAGTCAAGGCGCCATCCACCCTGGGGACGTTCCTGCGCAGCTTCCGGTGGGGCCACGTCCGCCAATTGGATCGGGTCAGCCGGGAGCTGCTGGCCCGGGCCTGGTCGGCTGGGGCCGGACCCGGCGACGCGCCATTCACCATCGACCTGGATTCGACGATCTGCGAGACATACGGTCTGGCCAAGGAGGGGGCGCGCGACCACGGCTACACGGGCAAGAGGGGCTATCACCCGCTGTTGGCCGTGGCCGCTGGCACCGGCGACGTGCTGATGGCCCGGCTGCGCGAGGGCCGGGCCAACACCGCTCGGGGCGCCGCCCACTTCCTGCGTGAGACGGTGGGGCGGGTGCGCTACGCCGGGGCCAGGGGACAACTCACGGTGCGGGCCGACAGCGGCTTCTACACCCACGCCATCGTCGCCGCCTGCCGCCGGATGGATGTCCGCTTCTCCATCACCGTCCGCCAGAGTGCTAGCCTGCGCAGTCTCATCGAGGCCATACCCGAGCAGGACTGGACGCCCATCCCCTACTGGATGGAGGGCGCCGCCGACGTGGCCGAAACCAGCTACACTCCCTTCCAGAGCAAGCCCGACGCCGCGCCGGTGCGGCTCATCGTCCGGCGCGTGAAGCCCACGCCCGGTTCCCAGTTGGCCCTCTTCGCCACCTACAGCTATCACGGCTTCATCACCGACCGGGAGGGGGAAACCCTGGAACTGGAGGCCGACCATCGGCGCCACGCCGAGATCGAGAACGCCATCCGAGACCTCAAGTACGGCGTGGGGCTGAACCATCTCCCCTCGGGCCGCTTCCCCGCCAACGGCGCCTGGCTGGCGGTGCAGGTGATCGCCCACAACCTGGCACGCTGGACGGCGCGCATCGGTCTGGGCGAGCAGATCGTGACCACCAAGACCCTGCGACGCCGCTTCTTTTCCATGGCCGGAAGGCTCACCCGCTCGGCGCGCCGCCTCACTTTGCATCTGCCCCAGCGTTGGCCCTGGGAAGCCCAGTTCAGTGGCGCCCTCGCTAGATTCCGAGCGCTGCCTCTCCCCTCCTGACGGCGCACGACCGCCACTGACCCGCCATCCGGCCAACTGAACGTCCCCGCAAACTCGCACCAGCTCGGTCCGCGAGCATCTCTTGCTGCGTCTTATCCCGCCATCTCGCTCGCAACAACCACTGTAGGCCGACATCGTCGCCCCCCAAAACGCCTGCAGACCGCCGCCAACCCCCCGTCTACCCGAATTCGAGCCCGGGCCATCGCGTTTGTAATTTCCTCACACCCCCTTCCTGTGTTCTCACTCCCTCAGTCCGTGTCCATCGGTGGATTCGGGCTAATACTTGGTCAATATTGAGGATAGTTGCACCTATGGTAGAGAACCGCCAATGAAGTAATCTCGTGGCCGTCTTTTGGACCTTCAGGTTGTCCGGTACCTGATGTCGGGCGTGGGGCACGGCCATTGTCCGATGTACATGGCTCGGTACCGGTCCTTGATATGCCGGGGTAAAGCAGATCCTTGGTTCGGGGCGCGTTCCGCACCGTCATTGTTACATCGGTTGTCTCCCCGTAATACCATTGAACGAAGGCACTCAATATGTTCGGAGCTATTTCGGGCGTCAAACCCGACCAGGCGACGTTCGGAAAAGGCCGGGGGCGCTGTTAGGGATACCGCGCTTCCGGCATCGCCATGCTGCTCCGATCCTGATTGCCCCGGTCGCCGCACTCAACTGGTTCACGTGGGCGGGAACCGTGCAGGCTCCGTCTCCGGTCTTTCAAGAGGGCGAAACCGCCACCCGCAGCAACGCTGAGAACACGGAGGTCCCGGAAACCGGACTCTCGATCGGCCCGCCGGCGTGCGCCACCAATGCCGATGTGTACGAGCCGGCCGCGGCGCTGGATCCGCCCACGGTGGAGGCCGCCAGTGGCGGGCGCAGCAGCCAGGCGTAGAGCTGGACGGAGCCCGACAACACCGGCCCCGGCGTCGAAGACTACGACCTGCGCTACCGGATCAGCGGGGACAGCGGCGATTTCACGGAAGTGGAATACGAAGGCGACTACACCAGCGCCACCATTACTGGCATGGACGCTGACACCACCTACGGCGTGCCGGTGAGCGGGACCAACGACGAGGCGCACGGGCGTCGGGCGGGCTTCGCCCGGGCTGTGGAACGAACGCGCGACCCGGGCCATCGTGCAGGGGTGCAACAGCAATGGTCGCCTGCTGGGCCGGACCAAACGTGCCTTGGCGTTTTCCCTGAACCATAGCGGAAAAAGGCCGTGTTCGTCACTGGCCAGGGGGTGGACACCATGAGTCTCTCAAGTCTTGCACGTAGCGTTCGGCTGCCGCGTTTGCCTCGCCGGGGGCAAAGGGTCCGGCAGGGCGCGAAGTTATGGCGCGTGCTGTGGTCGTCGCGCTCGACGAGGTCCCGAACGGCATTCCCGTCATGGGTTGCAGGATGCACGGACAGGTTCTGTTTGTTGCCCGCCGAGCGGGCGAGCTGCGCGAGAATGACCAGAATGGTGGTTCGTACGGTGGGTTGTAGCGGGATCGAAACTCCGTCTTCGCGGGGTTTCGCAAGTCCCTTCGAACGGAGCTCCGATATCGCCGAACGCTACGAACGGAGATCGCTGGGCATCACGTCAAACCTGGTCTTCTCGGAGTGGGAGCGCATCTTCGCCAACCCCATGGCCACCGCCGCGGCAATCGACCGAGTGGTCCACCACTCCGTAATCCTGGAGTTTGACGTCCCCGGCTACCGCAGCAACGTTGCCCAGCAACGGGGGCAGACCGAGGAGGTGAACCGGCAAAACTGATTGACGCGGGACACCAACGACGCCGATGTGGGTTTCAACTTTGTTTTAGTTCAGAAAGAGTCCCTGGATTCCCGGCCTCGTACACGACACAGGGGCGGCTATTCTTGCGCGGGAACGACGTACCGGAGGGGACGGTAGCGACGACTTTGCACCGGTCCTGAAAAGGGGGCAGGTTTCAAATCTGCCCCCTACTGAAATACCCATTGAGACGAGGTTGGGCCATTTGCCCGACCGATCGCTTCTGGGGTAACGGTTAGCCTTGGTGCAAGGGCCCCCGGAGGACCTGGCCCGGCAGCGCTCCGGTGTGCTCGCCGTCTTCCAGCAGAACCTCGCCGTTGACTATCACATAGTCGATCCCGATGGCGCCCCGCCTCACGTGCTTGGCATTAGCGCCGGCCGGGGGATAATCCACCGGTTCCCGGGGTTTGGAGGCGATGGTGTCAGCATCGAAGATGGTTAGGTCGGCGGCTTTGCCCGGCGCGATGAAGCCGCGGTCATGGAGTTCGTGCATCAGGGCGGTCTTGCCCGTCAGCCGATAGACGGCATCTTCCAGTGACATGACCTGCTTTTCCCGTACCCAGTAGCCCAGCAGATTGGTGCTGTATTCGTAGCGGTCCATCGTGTCCGGACGCGCGCCGCCGTCGGTGGTGCCGATAACGGTGTAGGGCGAGCCGAGTATCTGCCTCTGGGAGTCAACGTCAACGTTCCGGTCAACGCACAGGAAGTGGGTCTCCAGGTTTTCGTCCAGGGACAGATCCAGAAAGGCTTCCATAATCCCTTTACCCTGCTCCTGAGCCAATTGCTCGATGCTCTTGCCCTCGAACTGCCGGTTCCGCTCCTGGTGGGCCATGAAGACCTCTACCAAATCCCAGCGCCGGTTGAAGAATCCCCGGGGACTGCCCCGGCGGTCCGTCCCCGGCGCCGCTTGGGCAACGGTCCCTTCCACCGCCTCTGCGCTCAGCGCCCGGCGGATCTCGGAGTCCCGGAAAGCCCGTATACGCTCCGGAGTCGGCCGGGCCATGACCGAGTCCCAGGTGGGCATACCCGCGAACATGATGTGCGGGCTGATCAGGTCTTCGTCCTGGGGAACATCCAAACCCAGCCTTAGGTTGAAGATCGGACCGGCCGTGATGGATATGCAGGAGCCATAGGCTCTGATCCCCTCTTTGAAGGAGTCTTCCAACCACTGGAGGTGCTCTTTCCATCCGTCGGGGTCGTTCAGCTCCTGGGACACCAGGTTGTAGATGGCAGGACGACCGTTCCTCCGGGATAGCTCCTTGGCAGTACGATGCGACGCGTAAACGCCCTCCGGGGAGCCGCCGCTAACCTGGAAGAGGCCGGAGCCCAACTCGCCCAGGACGCTGCCGAGGATATATCGCTCTTCCTCAGCGGCGACGCCGGCAGGGTCATCCCGGTCTTTGGGGGTGGTGCTGAACCCCAGCGCGCCGGCCAGCATACCCTCTCGAACCAACTGCTTCATGGACTCGATTTCCTCAGCAGTGGCCTCGGCCCGCTCCGAGGCTGCTTCACCCATAACGTAGCGTCTTACTCCGGAGTGGCCGACCAGGGCGCCCACGTTGACGCCGCGCCTTTGGCCCAAGGCGTCAAGGTACTCCGCGATGGATCCCCAAGTGAAGTTCACCCCGTTCTGCAACGAACTTAGCGGGATGGCCTCGGCATCCGCGAAAAATTTCAGGTACCACTCTTGGTCCCCCGGCCGCGCCGGAGCGATCGTCTGTCCGCACTGTCCAACTACCACGGTGGTGTTGCCGTTCTGGACCGTATAGTTGCATAGGGGGTCCCATAACGCCTGGGGGTCATAGTGGGTGTGATGGTCAATGAACCCGGGGGCCACTACTCGGCCGTCGGCGTCGATAGTGCGATCGGCCGATTCAGTGAACTTGCCGACTCCCACGATTTTCCCATTTTGCACCGCCACATCTGCGTAAAAGGAAGGCCCGCCGGAGCCGTCAACCACGCGCCCGTTCTTGATAAGCAGGTCATACGCCATTTTACTTCCTCCGTTTTGCTTGAATCGTTGCAGTTTGCGATATTTTAGACGAACATCGCTATTTTTACCTGATAAGACGCCAGTATTCGGCCGCAATGGGGTTCGGAGTGTAGTTTATAGACTGCGGGGAGCCGCGTCAATCTTTGTTACCAGCGTAAGCGCGAATCCACCGAAGTGATGGTCGCTGGCGTTGACACAAGGGATGATGGGTAAGGGAAGGCGAACGGGCCCAGCCAGATCCCAATAGCTGGGGATGAGGCCGGCGTGAGGGCAGCCACATTGGCACGATGATGGCGGCCGTGCGGCCATGGCGGGCGGGATTCGACAGGCGGTAGGCAGGAAGGGTCCCTCGCGGACCGAGTTGGTGCGAGTTGGCGACCATGTTCAGTTGGCCAGATGGCGGGTCAGTGGCAGACGGGCGCCGTCAGGTTGGGAGTGGCAGGGCGCGCAATCGCGCCAAGGCGCCACTGAACTAGGTTTCCCAAGGCCAACGCTGTGGCAGATGCAAAGTGAGGCGGCGCGCCGAGCGGGTGAGCCGTCCGGCGATAGAGAAGAAGCGCCGCCGGAGGGTCTTGGTGGTCACCAGTTGCTCGCCCAGACCGATGCGAGTTGTCCAGCGAGCGAGGTTATGCGCCATCACCTGCACCGCCAGCCAGGCAGCGTTGGCGGCGATGGTCGGCCTCCAGTGCCAGGGTTGCCCGTCCAGGTCGGTGATGCAGGCGTGATGGCTGTAAGTGGCGAAGAGGGCCAACTGGGTACCGGGCGTGGGCTTTACCCGCCGGACGATGAGCCGCACCGGCGCGGCGTCGGGCTCACTCTGGACAGGGGTGCTGGAAGGGGGTGTAGGTGGCCTCCGCCACAGCGGCGGTGCCGTCCATCCAGTAAAGGGATGGGCGTCCAGTCCGTCTCGGGTATCGCCTCGATAAGATTCCGCAGGCTTTTGTGCTGGCGGACGGTGATGGAGAAGCGGACATCCATTTCGCGGCAGACCGCGACCAAGGCACGGGTATAGAAGCCGCTGTCGGCCCGCACCGTGAGTTGTCCCCTGGCCCCGCCGTAGCGCACCCGTCCCACCGTCTCACGCAGGAAGTGGGCGGCGCCCCGAGCGGTGTTGGCGCGGCCCTCGCGCAGCCGAGACATCAGCACGTCGCCGGTTCCGGCGGCAATGGCCAGCAGCGGGTGATAGCCCCGCTGGCCGGTGTAGCTGTGGTGGCGGGCGCCCTCCTTGGCCAGACCATAGGTCTCGCAGATGGTGGAGTCCAGGTCGATGGTCAGGGGCGCGTCGCCGGGTCCGGCCCCAGCCGACCAGGCCCGGGCCAGCAGCTCCCGGCTGACCCGATCCAGTTGGCGGACGTGGCCCCACCGGAAGCTGCAGCAGGAAGGTCCCCAGAGTGGATGGCGCCTTGACCACGCAGCCGATGACGCCAGCCGTCCCGCCGGTGCGCAACACGTCGGCGTCGTCAATGCAGTCGCCGCCAGCCAGCGCGGACGCCACCAGGGTCATCATCTTGTCGCCGGTGTTGGCTCGGCCAGGAGCGCGGCCCAGGTCAACGTGGCGGTCAACCAGTTGGGACAGACCCAGGCGCTGGGCCAGGGTGACCGGCAAGAGCAGCCCAGCATTGGCCACCAGACGGTGGTCGTCAAAGGCGATTTGGATGCGGTCGGGCTGGTCAAGTGGTAGCATCTTTTGAGTGCTCCTTGTTTCGGGTCGGTTTGCTGTTTCACAAACCATTATCCCCGAAGCACAGGAGCACTTTTTCATCCCCTCAGCGCACCGCCACACTCATCTTTTCGGTGGATTGGGGCTTACGATCCGTCGGAACTCGTCAAGAAACTGGCCGATGACCTTGGGCCTGCGGCAGTGGCTGAATCGTTGGGCATCGACGAAACGGTCCTGGGCCTGCCCCTCGAAGACCAGGCTGAGATGGACGACGACGTCGTCAGCATCCGCGGATGCTGTTGCAACTCGTCGGACTCGGTGGCAAGCGTGCGATATCCCTTGGCCTGCTACCACGCCCGGAGGATTAGCGGCTAAAGCCTAACGCCTTGGGACGAAGACGAGACACTACTATTTGTCAGAAGCTAGCCAAGGATAATCATCCAGGACGCGGGTGAAATGCCAGCAGTGGTTTCTGCTCCGCATGATGACATCCCTGGCGAGCGGTAAGTCATCCTCTTCAGCTAAGGACTACATACCGGAACGCTCTCACTTGAGAACCTGGTTGAGCTGATCGTGGTGCCGGCTTGGGTCCCGAAGTAGCGCCCGATAGCGGAGTCGGGACCATGGTGGGCACTGCGGATGGGTGGGATAGGTCATCATTTGCTTGACGATTGGATCCAGGTAGGACCAGATCATGGACTTCTCTTACGTGAGGACCTGTAAGAGTTCGGCGTTGAACCTGAACAGTATGTAGTAGTACTTGACACGGCGTCGCGCTGAGCAATCGCTTGAAATTTCGTTCTCTTCCGAAGCGCCTGGCCCCATCGGAGACGGGCTTTCCACTTGCGGTCGCTTGACATAAACTGTAGTTGGGCGGGTTGTGACCCTTGCCCAATTCGCTGTCGAGCGAGGCAGGACTTGCAAACGCCGATACATTCTTATCGACCTAATCAGTATCAAATTTCGCTGCCTGGGGGGTTAATACGTGAACGGGAGCATCCGACAACGCGCGCCGGGTTCTTGGGAGATCGTGATCTTCTTGGGGCGCGGTGAGAACGGAAAGATCCGCAGGCGGTACGAAACCGTCCGAGGTACCAAACGCCAGGCCCAGCAGCGTTTGCGTCAACTCCTGACCGCTGTGGATCACGGCTCGACACCGTCGACGGAGCGCATCAAGCTCTGCGATTGGCTTCAGCGGTGGATGATGGAACGTATCGTGCCTCACCGTAAGCTATCTACTGTGGACCGCTATGAAAGGGCCATCCGCCGTCATATCGAACCAGCGCTAGGACCTTTGGAGTTGGATAAGATATCTCCCGCTCAGATCAACGCATCTGAAGCTGGTCTAACCGCCAACGGCGAATCGGCCACCAGCGTCAATTTGGTCCACGCGGTGCTGTCGGGCGCCATGCGGTACGCGGCTTCCTTGGAACTGATCATGCGGAACCCCGCATCTTTGGTTTCGCCGCCGGCTAAACCAAAGAAAGAAGCGCAAGCCCCCTCTATGGAATCGGTGCGTCGAATGCTGCGGCTTGCCGAGGAATTGAACCACTATCTTTTTCCGTGCATCCATCTCCTGGCTTATACCGGGATGCGTAGGGGAGAGGCGGTCGCTTTGACTTGGAACAACGTGGATCTCGAGGCAGGACACCTGAATGTGGTCGCTTCCGTAGGCAGAGTCGGCAGGCAGGGGTTGGTCGTAGATGTGCCCAAAAGCAAGAGCGGTCAACGTAAAATCGATTTGGACGCCCGTACTGTGGAAATC